CTGGTGCACTTCTACACTTCTGACGCCTTTTCAAAATGAATTTAAACAAAAGTTTCTTCTAATGGACTGTGCTCTGGACTACATCTATTTGGTGTATTTTTCTTTGTTCCTTGGAAACTGTTTTTGAGAAGCAGGGTCCCCTTCCATTCAGCCTTGTCACTGTGGCAACCCTTAACCCGCTACAACGCTACACGAACAGTTCTTGGCTTAACCACACGACTCGGGTTCAGCAAGTAGTGGGCTGGATTAGCCATTGGCGGACTATGCTCGGCCAATTGTCAAATTATGCTTTTGATTATGCCACAATTATGCCAACAAATATGCTGAATTATGCTCGGTTCCACTATGTATTCACGCTGTACATAGAGGATTGAGAAACCACGCAGACACACACGGCCATTCCCTAAGCATACTTTTTGTCTAAACCGAACGATTATGCCGACCTTACACGTTGGAATCCGTATATTATTCCGGAGCATATTTTTTGACGAAATCCCAAGATTATGCCAAATATTATGCCAGCATAATCCGCCAAGGGCTAGGCTGGATGGTTGCTACTATGTAAGCAACGCAAACAATAGATAGTAACATCACTGGTCAAATTAAAAAAAATCCGCGGTTCGTGTGAGACTCGGTGGTCCAGTTGTTTTATCATTTATTTATATTAATTAATCCTCTAAACAAGAAACGTGCCGGATGATCTTGACGAGTATGTTCTTGTTTTCCATGTAAACAGTCAGGAGACGCGATCTGACAGAAAAGCGAAATAAAGCCTTGGTGGGGTTAGTATTTTCCCGCTTTCCTGGCAGTTTGCTTTCCTTGACTGCAGTTGAATTTGAAGATTATCCCATTCGCATTTCAATGTTCCTGTTTAGTGAAGAATTCCGGACAGGCGTTGACGTCTTTTTGCAGGGAACCCTTTTGGCGTGAAATCACCGGCAGGAAGTTTCGTATACGGCACGCACGGGTATTAGACAGTATGTGCCAGTGTAGTATCTCTAGCTCTATCAGTATCACTGAACAGTCATCACACAACCTCCTGGTATTACTAGTTACATTGTAGTTCATAGGTACATTCATGCTAAGTGCTTCTCCCAGCAACCACTTACTTTGAAGTAGGACTACTAGCCTGCAGACCGGTACGGCCTGACCTGTTGCATTCATGCTGTAAATATGCATTACATTGATTCCTGTGTAGTCTGTCCCCCCTCACTGACCCCTTTTGATCACTTGCGAGATGCCTTCCCATCCAACAGCTTTCTTCCCCGAACCCATGTTATTGATCAGCCCTAGCTCACACACATTCAAATGCCTTTTCCTTAGATCTTCCAACAGTTGTCTTCCTAGTAATCGTTATGCCCCCTTACCCTGCCTGCCATTCACATTAGTTTCCTCCATACTTTTAGATTGCATTCCTGTTGCATAAACCTTGCTCGCCACTTAGGTCCATTCATCCTCCCACACTGTTTCGAGTCCCGTTGTCCTCCTGCTTTCTTTTGCCCTCACTCCCAGCTGCTCTCTCTCCCTGGCCTATATAACCCGCTGATTCTTCTCAGTTCTTTGTGGAATTGATTTCGAGAGTAAAGAGTTGTGAAGCCTCAGAGCTTGCAAGTTCCTCCGGCTAGTGCTGTCAGCCTGTTACACTTTCTGGTATAAGTCCGAAGTGCTTCAGACACGAACAGGTTGGCAGACACTACACCAGTATCCTTTTCTTGAAGAGTCTAAGTGCTTGCGTCATAACGTTATCCGCATCTGGGGAAATGGTGAGCCGCAGGCTCTTGCCACGTACTTGTACATACATGTAACTGCCGTGTACATGTACATGGCATAATAATACTTGTACCTGTACCTGTGCTTAACCTGTAGGTTACATGTGAGACTGAAGACAGTAAGTGCTTATTGTTGCGTCAAAACAGTGTATTCCATGGGCGACGTACACCACGCCCCGCACTTGCACTACCAGAGCTGAACTCAAGGCCAAAGGGAGCAGGCGCATTTGGCGATACAATCATGGAAAACTTCAACTTCGAAAAGGCATGAAATACGTGTAGCTGCTGGCACCATCATTACAGGACCACGGGTACGATGCGAAATGAAACTACAGGACACACACACACACACAGATTTTCACGCTATCGTGCAAATCAGGTCCAAGTGGCACTTGAGTTGAGCGTTTGCTGAAGCACTGCCCGTCAGAATAACGACCAGTATAGAATTTGGAGCCTTCCGAAATTATTGCGTTCAGTATTTCGAACACGGCATCTTTGAGAAGGGTGGTAAACAGGGAGGTGAGGGATATAAAAGCAAAAAAAACGTATCTTAAACGGTACATAGCTTTAACTTGGCGAAGGCAAGCAAAGGATTTTATCAACGGGCAAAATTCGGTGCGTTCCAAACGAATAATGGGTGCTGTTGACGAACTAATGGAAGCTCCAACTAGTGAGATACATGTAGCTATGAACCTAGGTCGCTAGGAAGTACTCGAAGTATGCAAAAGGACGGTGCTGAGGTTAGGGGCAGCGATACGCCCTGCAGAGACACTTCGATCATCTCCCAGCCTCAAATATTCAGCCACCGCCAGTGGCATAAAGAACAATTCCAACAGCTCATCTACCTTGAGCTGTTGTAACGACGAGACCATTAAAATGCTGTACCTGGCGATAGAATGAGGACTTGGTGCGGACTTTCACGGCGAGCTGCAGGCTATAACAAAATACAATAGTATGCTTGTTGTTGGAGGCTCAAGGAACAGGTTTTTAACACCTGCCGCAAAGCCAGCGAGTTCTGATTTTTTTCCTGATCAAAGGCGTGAAAAGTGGCCCTACGACAATTGACATTCAGCAAGTATTTGCTCAATCCTTCGACAAACCACTCTATCAGATGAACGAACACGACTTAGGGATATGGATATGGACACGAACAGCATACAGGAATGTCTACCCGCCAACATTTCTATTCCCATTTTGCTGTGTGTGCTTGAAGTAGTGTGTTCCATGTACATGTACATGTACTGTAAAGCGTGAGATTTTCGCGGCGTTTTTAGTTCGCGTTTTCAGAATCCGGACAGGTTTGCGAGGTTTTAATTTTGCGATTGCAGAATGGCATTCTTGCTAAACCTGTGGGATTCTTGCTAAACCTTTCATGGATCTCCTTTTCGCGCTGTCTAAATTTCGCGATTTCCACGCGGTCGCGAATTTCGCAGAAATTCGACCATCGCAATAATTTCACAGTTTACAGCCAGCAAACTTCTTTTGGAATGAAAGTTATGAATAATTTATGTACATCAGAAGTATTTGCTCTCAATAGCGAGAGTTCTCAGTATCCATATTATACATTCAATGTTTACGCACCGATGTATCTAATAGAGCTAGGAATACTGGTGCTTCTAAAGCGAAGTCGTGTGAGTGTACATGTACATGTACATTTGCTTCGTGACCACTAGCGTGATCTTTTAGAGTGCTCTTTTGTCCATGCTCTGATCGCCAAAGTGCCGGTTATAAGCACTTGCTTGCTACATTGTCAAGTCAATCACCATTCTATTCGAGTTGAAAAGTAATGGTACGATAGGCCCAGATAAAACTACATGTATACTTATGGCTTCTGTGCTTTGTCATAGTTTGTGCGCTGATTTGCTTTCCTCCAACCAATAATCTATTTGACCATGTTTCATTGTACGTGTACATGTACATGTACATGCATGTCTCCGTTCAATCAAGGAGTAAAAAAACCGATAGATTTTGGGACTCTCTGCACCATATTTACTGTACTTGGACCGTAGCATTTCTATTTGATTTGTTTGAGGAGCTGAGAAAGCAGAAACCTTACCCGAAAATGTATGCGACACATTTCGTCAGTCATAATTACTATGTACAACCCTGGCATCACTACCTTGGTAGTCTATATCCAAGAGTACATAACCGTACTCTTGATATATCCCGTAAGATGTTTTAATTATTGTCCAAATGAGCAATAGAAGGATATGTCATGGCTATAAACCATCTCAAATTATAAAGTTTTTGAAAACTCAATTTAATTATATGTCGCAGGTCTTTAAATAAGGCTGAAGGTTCGCAGCGATATGAAGCATGTAATAACAACTGCTTCTCCCACACTATGCGTGTTGGAAAGGCGTGCAATGAAGTGTGAAGCTACAAGTCGATGTCGTGTACAGATTTGTGTGAGTAAAAGTCTGCGAAGTGTTCACTCGCAGGAGTGAAAATGATAGGCAATGGTGAATCCGCTAAATGACAAACAACAATCTATCACTAATGTTTTCCATTGTCTAGGGTCTGTTTTGCAGAGAGATTGATACGGGTTGATGAATTACAATGAGCACTCGCCTGTTATGAGGTCAATTCTCGGTGTTTTGCAGCCTTGCATCCATAGCCATAGGGCAATGTTTTGTATCCAGCAAATCCAGACGAATAAAAGAGCTCAGGACAAGCCTAGCTCAGGGTAGGCCTAGGATCGATTGCAGCTGCGACTGATTCGCGAGTTGAAATCAATTCCTTGTCACGTACACATATACTAAGCAGACTTTAGAGCTCCGAGCAGCGATGACCTGACGACTGTTTGCCGACGTCAGGCATCGCAGAAAGCTCCGAGCAGCGATGACCTGACGACTGTTTGCCGACGTCAGGCATCGCAGAAAGCTCCGAGCAGCGATGACCTGACGACTGTTTGCCGACGTCAGGCATCGCAGAAAGCTCCGAGCAGCGATGACCTTACGACTGTTTGCCGATGTCAGGCATCGCAGAAAGCTCCGAGCAGCCATGACCTTACGACCGTTTGCCGACGTCAGGCATCGCAGAAAGCTCCGAGCAGCGATGACCTTACGACTGTTTGCCGACGTCAGGCATCGCAGAAAGCGGTGCGCCTTCTGCGCCAAACGGAGTCAGTGTATGCGACACATATTGGACGGGTTTCCTTCGGGTTCTGCGCCGCCTTTTCAGCCTAGACTGCTCTGCAAAGATTGGAACATATTCCACGACGGGTGGTACAGCGGTGAATACTTTGCTGTCGGAGTTCGCAGTCGATTCACACGGAGTCTCACTACCCTGTGAGGATTCCTCGCTTGACGTAGAGAACGTGGAGCTGCTGCTCTTGCGGTAGAGCGATCTAATGCGAACTAGTCGGGAATTCATATTTTCCAAGTGAGATGGAGACGTTCTCAACTTCTAACTTCACTTGAGAGAGCAGCATTGAAAGGAAAGTTCTTTCGGGTCTGGATGTCTGCCGTTGCTTTTATACACGTGAAAAGTTCCATACGCTACATCCTGTAGAATAAATTTCGTCTTTGTTCGAGTTTATTGTTTCGGGCAATCATCAGCAGATGCATGCAGAGTCCCCTAATCCCGTGATGCTGGCCCTTGCACTGAGATCTGGTGACTACAAACACATCCAGAGTGTAAATCCGAAGAGGTCTGCCTTTCGGGATTGTTACCGACTTTACGTTCACCGGTGAACACTTTGAAAGCATTGATTTGATCCCGCGGCCAGAGTGACGCCAGAGGCGCACTGCCGCACCTGGCCCAGTTCGAATGAGTGTGCTACAGGCGAGGATAACAGCAAGCTTCTACGTGACCAAACCACGCGTTAATGTCCTGCTGAGGGAACTACAAAGCAGCAGCAGCTACAGTCTGACACACTCGTCACTAACCATCTACAAACAGCATGACTGCCAATCGGAATCGCGCGGAAACACTGTCCCCTGCATCTTAGCCATGTACTTTGATCAGCCAAAGTGCGAATAGGTCCAAATAGAGTGGTCGCACATGACTGATTGTATCATGTGACCCCGAGGGAGACCCATGTTGGTTCCAACTCTGCTCAAATCCTGCATTTACTGGTTGTAAATCATGACATCCGCCATATCGGCTCCACTGTCCACATGCCATAATTACTTTCTCCAAGCATATGATGTTTTTAAACTAGTTACTGAACCAAGCTGCAGTGTTTGGGATACGATCATCTATAGCAATGTATTCTGTTGGAATGGAGCTAGGCACGTTTGTGGACGGGTAGGAAGTTGGTTTCCTAATTAACAATGTCTCGAAGGAAGAATGTCCGAATCTGTGTAAGTCAAGAAAATGTGGATTGCTTCAGACGTCATGCTCTGAATCATGCTCTGAGCGGTAATTGCACTCATCGTGCGGTGCAAAGTTCAGCAATCTAGTCGTAGCCCGTCAGCGCTTGAATTCTACCCATGTCCGGGATGCAATTTTAGTAATATTGGAATATCATGGCCATCGCCTTCCAGGGATGAATTTGTGTGGTCGCGAGCCGAGGTGAACACGTCACAGCCGGAATAGGTGTTGGTATTGTGTTGCACATGAAAATTTGTATTATGTATATGTATGCGCCCCAATAGGCTTTCGGTCGCTCAATATACTGTAGTACATGAAAATAGAAACGAATTCTGGCATGTATTAAAAGAATGCGCTGAAATAATAATAAGCTTCACAGCATTTCGGTGTACCCTTATCTTTGGTACTTTCGCAGGCCGGCAAGTTTCGGCGCAACTCGCTGATACAAGTGCAAAAACATGCAAGTACCTAGATTTCCAATAGCTGCACACACATGATCATCCAACTGGGAACTACTTCTCCGTACCTAAATTACTCCACGCCCCACCTGGTCTTTTATCCTCATACCTAAACATTTGGGATAGTGCCTTTTTTTTGTTACGCAGAGCTCTCTGACTTGTCAGTTTCAGCACTCTGGCAAGGTACGTTCGGGCCTCGTTTAAATCTGGCTTTGCAAAATGTATGTTTCGTTACTATCAGGTTCGACCTCATTTTCTCTGTGTTGCACTGACGAGTCCACAAAGAACGAAACAGTTCCGTACGAAGATTGAGTACCTGCATAGTACATTACCTATTTTCTCAAATACAGTAGAGTCGCGAGCCCAAGAACGTTGTTTCCAAGGGGTCAGCCTGGGACGTTCTTATTTTTCAGCAATCTGGCTGCGTTCTTATAACATAATAACACGTTCTAATGCGTATTGAATCATAATGTATCCCACAAGCTCCCAGAAAAACAACACCGCCGATCTCAACTTTAGGCTGTGGCGTTTGTAGTATTTCAGGCTGGACATTCTTGGGCTCCACGTTCTTCAGCGCGCGACCCTACTGTGAGGGTAAATGTAGATGTCCCACTGCAACTGCATGCGGCACTGTTATCTTTTCTACTGATACCAGCACTCCACTACAAATCCAGAAGAAGGCTCCAAAGTTTGAAATGTCATCTGTAGTTGACCAGCCTGACTGAAAAGGATAGGATAGGTAGGTAGGTCACAACGTGCAACACACAACAGTGAGCACAATATTGACTGCTCGGGTACTGACATTCAACAACAACGGATAACATTTCAACCTATGTCCCCTTCTTCTTGATTTCAACCATTGGCTTTCCACCCCAGTACAAATCCTTAAATGCTGCGAACCTCGTTAAATTAACAGATACAAGTACATGTATATTGTAGGGGATCAGCGTCTGGGTCATTCTTATACAGACATTTTGATCATTTAAAACGAGAGAGCTTGGAAGCACAGGGCCCTACGCTATGCTTTTTTTGCCTTGATGACCTAGACAAAAAAGGTATAGGGATGTTATAAATTCTTATAAGGGACCATCGCAAAAGTTCGCAGAAGCCCCTGAAACGAAGAGCATACGTTTGGGGGGGAGGGAGTCGATGCGAAAATCGCAAACCGGGCTTCAATTCAAAAAAGTATTGACGACATAATTATAGGAGCTGTAGGATTAGCATGCCATCACAGCGGGCGTAGATCGCTTGTCAGGACGCGTAGTCCATTCATGCAACTGCGCGTGTCGCGTAGCTGGCTGCCTGTACACTGTGTGTAGTCTAGTACCAAGAGTCCATAAAACGCGTGGTTTATGGACTCTTGCTAGTACACTAGTACTAGCAGGGGTTCATAGGGTTTATGAACCCCTGCTGTATTATTATAATAATTATTATGTGTGAGCATCCAAGTGAAATAATGAAGGCCATATTGTGACTGTCGTTTCGTTTGAGGGGGGAGGGAGGGGGGTCAGGCCCGAAACTCACGGTCTTCGTTTCGGGGGCTTCTGCGAAATTTTGCGATGGTCGCTAAGTTTCAACTTTTTGTTTTTAGACATAACCTGGGATTCTATCCCGCACTATCGCCCTGCATGCATCCCCCGATTTACTCCGCATACATACTAATTCTTCCAACTTGCTTCACGTTATGATCTTGTATTTGGAAGCCCTATTTGAATATGCATTGTGGCCAGCCGTCTTTGAATGTACGGTACGGTACGGGATAGCTATTAGGTACGGGCCAGGTACGGGACAGGTACGGTCGAGGGTAATACGACACCGTCTACCGCCTTGATGACGGCGAAAAAGAAAAGGGATGTTATAAATTTTTTAATTCTCCTATTTTTTTCAGGCATTACCTGGGATTCGAACCCGCACTATCGCCCTACATGCATTCCCCCATACACTTCGCATTCATACTCATTCTTCCAAGTTGCTTCACGTTATGATCTTGCGTTTGAAAGCCCTATTTGAATATTGCGGCCAGCTGTATGTGGCCAGCTGTGTTTGATGGTACGGTACGGGACAGATACGGGATAGCGCCAGGCGTGACACAAACACACAAACAAACACCAAATTAAAGCTGTGTGGGCCCTGGCTAGCGCCAGACGTTACTGAAGTAACGTCTTCTGCATAGCTACGGGAATTAAATTTTCTTATGGCTAGTTCACGCCACGCAATGCGATCTTTAAAAAATTGTCCAAAATCTGATGTGGACTCCAATATCAAGAGATAGCGGGATTTGAGGTATGCCATTGCGGTATGGCGTTTGGTGTCACTACAGCTCCTGGATTGTGGAGCATGAAGGGTTGGTGTATGAAAGTAGAGTATCTGTGGATGACTGCTGGATTGCTGCCAACGAGATGTTTCCCCTTTTTAGCTTTTCCAAACTTGGCGTCGTTGCCACTTGCAACTCTGGATCGGAACTAGAGCCAGCGCGGGTGCGAACAGTTCTCTGCTTTCTCTTGATGGTGAATCCACTCTGCGTGCGAACACTGCGCCTGGTGGTGCGGTTCCTGCTACTGGCGAGATCCTGTATCACGTTGGCAAAGCCTCCTGCCATGCTATCGTCGCGACCCTTGACGAAGACACATGATGGTCGGCCACCAAGCGCACCACTTTCCGTTCTCTGTTGCTCCCTCTGCTGTTCTTCGTTCGCTTCCCCCTGAGATTCCTCCTGCGGCTGCTCCGTTGGCTCGTCTTCGACAAGTAATATCTCGTCCGTCTCATCCAAGTCTATGCCAAAGAGAGTCAGCACTGTATCGGGAAAGAATAGGTAGAGCATCATCATAACAAAGCCCAGCCAACACAGGAGGAGGCCATTGGCCAGCGTTAGATAGAAGCTCCAGCCATACGCCGTCTCCAGCACGCCATCCTCGAACGGTATCTTGAGCTGCGGGCCCACTGAGCTGTACAGCTGGTCGTAAGTTACACACGCCAGGATCATCAGAATGCCAGTGGTACATGACAGGCAGGCACTGTAGGCGAGCGTCCACGAAGCCGTCATCACCGTCAGAAAGAAGAACGCCAGGGCACTCCTATTACCACCGCAACGCACACAAGCAAACATACGAGAAAACCAATATGAGGCCGCGCACGTATAATGTATACACCATGTACCATGTACATGCAAACACACACACACACAAACACGTGCACATACACACACACAAACAAACGTGCACACACACACACACACACACACACACACACACACAAACGTGCACATACACTCAAACACACCCACACCCGCGCACACGCATGCGCACATGCATGTACATACACGCACACACACACACACACACGCACACATACACTCACACACACACACACGCACACATTATAACAGCCTGAGGACCTTTGACAACTGTCTACCCACATCCACAAATAGGCCCGAAATCCAATGCTGCATTGTGAAACACATGATCTGGCTGACGCGCACTCTAACGACACATCATATTTTTTGACACATATCCTTTTCATGTTTGCTCCAGTCTACCACAAAGCTCAGGCGCGTGCCCCGTATAGGTGCCTGGGTGCCCGGAACCCCCCCCCCTTTTCGCTCAAAATGAAGGATTTTGCTTCATATTTTTGAAATTTTTCACGCGGGAGCCCCCCCCCTTCCCCCCCCCCCTCCCCGGAACCCCTCCTTGAAGGGCACCAGCGCACGCGCATGAAGCTCCACCTTCAATCTTTCTGGGGGACAGGACACATCACAAGGACCCACAAACTACAAAAACCCACTTCAGTATTTTCTGTATTCACATTCATGAAGGTGATGAAGAGCTTGAAATTTGTAATTTTTCTGTCCAGTCTACTTAGTTCAATGGTTTCTAAAACTTATATTAGCACAATCCTCCACCCAGCGGAAGATGCTCAACAGCATGAGGCGGCAATGGAGTCTGCAAGTACTTTTAACAATAATAAAGTACTTCTGCGCAGAACAATTTTACGACTGGAAGAGCTCTGTAAAAATCTACCCCCAGACCATTAAACTCGGATACTGAGCCAGTAATACATGTGAAAAAAAGAGAAGAAACACAAGAGAACAAGTTATGCAGCAACTATCCACGACTGTAACAAGATGATAAAAAATCGGAAAGTGCGATAATAGGGCACAAAACCGACAGGCTACTGAGACATTCAGCAACCCGAGACCTAGCTCTAACACATCTCCAGTGCGCAAACCAACAGCCTTCCAACTTGGATGGTTCATGGTTACGTAGGAACGAAGAGGGGAAGGTGAGCGCAGCGAAAATGTGCACACAAGCTAAGTCCCACGGCAACAAAGAATGCCGACTGTTACAGGACGATGACGAGACCAGTTAATAACATGACTGTTGTGTATCGTGTCGGAGAAAGGTCTTCTGGGGTGTCGTCGAGATCTCGTTGCGACCGTGACTCCTGCTTGTCTCCCTGGCTAGGTGCTGCTTGCTTTGCTTTTTTGCGTAGTGTTTTTGATTATTGTTTACTATTGCGTATTGTTAGTGTTCGTTGTGATTTGGTACAGTACTTGTTACGAGATACGACACATTGTGTAGTGTGTGTTTGCAGCACGAAGAAGACTGCACACCAGAACGGTTAGCTCAGGAGCTTGGGCTTACCTTGTGCAATCACAGTTCATCAGCTTGGACATTGCGCTTGGTCCCATGCGAATAACCGACTAGAATAGTAATTATTTCTTCGTTGCATTTTTGAATTGTGTTCTTGCTAGCTCGTTGATTTATTTAGTTGATGTGTTGATTTGTGTTTGATTACTTATTTATTTGATGCGCGATTTATGTGCGCTGATTGCGTGATGGCATGCAATTATGATCATGCTTGCGCCAGCTAGCTAGATGCCTGCGCCGCGCACTGATGTTGAATGAGTTAGTATGCGCCCCGCGCTGTTCATGCATATATGGTACATGGTGTGTAATGTTTGCCGCACACGCGTATACGTGCCTCGCCTCGTACTGCTTATGTGCCGCGCGCCGTACTATTGCTGTCGCTTTGCCGCCAAATTTAGCTTCCGCTTTCCGAGCGCTGTACGCTCTTCTGTACGCTCATGCCAAAGTTGGACGCACGTTGTGGCTGGCCAGCGCTTTACCCCTCATGCGTTGTTCTTTTCCTTGATGCTGTGGTTTGTTTTTCTTTAGTGTTCTAGAGTTCTCTTTCCGATGTAGTTCGTATTTTTCCAGTCTCTTCTTCTCAATGTATTCTACTGTTCATTCATTATAGTCCGTAAAGAATTACGTGACCTTTTGTCTTGTGGCGTCTGTGCGATCCTGAAACTTTTGAGGTGTTAGTAGTGAACACAACATTTTTGGCGACCACGCCAGGATAGAGACGCGTGAACATGGATGAGGTAGAAGCGAAGCTGATCGCAAATGGTCAAGCTTATGGCTACACTGGAGAGGCATTGCGTACTTACGTAGAGGAGCGTATCGAGAAGCACGAGGAGAAAGTGCGTGCAGACAGAGAGCGCGACGAACGAGCAGGAAGTAGATTGGAAAGGAAAGATGACGAGCAGCTGCTTGCGAGGATTGCAGATTTGGAGTTGCAAGTCCAGCACACATGAGAGACTCAGAGTGATGAGAGCACTTTGTTGAATACGACGAATGGCAGTTTAGCGAGCAAGAGGGCTGCCATCAAGATGCCGAAGTTCGACGGTAAGCAGACTGTTGAGACCTATCTCGAACTGTTCGAGGATGTGGCAAAGCAAAATGAGTTCAGCGACGACGAGTACCTGATCCGCTTGCGCGTGGCTGTTGCTGGCAGCAAGTTGGAAGGTGCATGCTATGGCTGCAACACCTTTGCCGAAGCGAAGCGCGAGCTGCTGATGGCGCATGGAAAGACCGCCGACAAAGCGTGGCAAGCCCTGATGGCCATACAGCAGAAAAGTGATGAGAGTTTCTACCAGTTTGTGGTACGAGTGACGCGCGAGACGGAGAAGTGGGCAAAACTCGCCAGGCCTAGCCGTACCTCTAGCCGCGGACAAATCGGTGAGCTGGACGACACTGAATTGTTCGGATGTGTCGTACGTCAAGTCCTGCTAGAAGCTGTGTCGGCAGAAACTAAGGCCTTCTTGATCGAGAAGAGATGTTACACGAAGGACTTGAAGGCGTTTGCGGAGGATGGTATGGCTTACCAAACAGCCCACGGACGTAGCAAGCTGAAGCCTGCCAAGTCTAGCACCAGCGACAAACGTATACCGTTTGCGTCGGCAGAGTGTTTGACGGTCAGCGTTGATGAGGCTAACAAGAAATTGTCAGCTATGGCGTCTGAGCACCGAAACGCGTACGTCAAGGCAGAGGGACTGTGTTTCAACTGCCTGAGACCAGGACATCGAGTGATGAATTGTCAGAACAAGGGTCATTGCAAGCACTGCAACAAGCGACACCACAGTCTACTGCACAGAGAGGACAAACAGGTAACATCCGAACCGATAGCCGAATCGAAAGTCGGTACGTATGAATGTAGTGCAAACAGCGTGCACTTGATGACCGGCGTGGCTGAGGTACAAGGACCTAGCCGAAAGGCCAGTGTACGCATATTCATCGACCCAGGTGCGCAGGCATCGTTCATCATCGCGCCACTGGTGAACTCGCTGCAACCGGCACACCTTGGATCGCAAACTGTCAGGCTGAAGGCGTTTGACGTGGAGCCGAAGTTTGAAAAGATGGACAGGTACCGTGTCACCATCAAGGGTGCAACGAAGTCCATTTCCGTCAATGCCTGGCAAAAGAAGTCGCTAGGTCTCCGATTCGATCCGCTAGCAGACAGCACAATTGCACGTTGGCAGTCACAGGGATTGCAGCTGTCTGATGACTCGACAAAGGCCGGATCAAGCGAAGTGCACATGCTGATTGGAGCTGACTACTGCAATGAGTTCCTTCTCCGCAAGGAGCAAATTAATGGAGAGACGGCCTGGCACACTGAAATAGGCTGGGTGCTGTCAGGACCGGCTAATAGTGAAACCAAGTCAGCGACCGTCAGTGTGAGTTGTATTGAACTTGACCGACTGTGGAAGATGGAAGAGGTGGCGGAAATAGCTGAGACGTTACCGGACTTCCCGATAGAGCGGCAAGGCCCTCATTACCAAGTGGGATTGCTATGGCGATCTGAGAAGCGTCCGCCAGCCAACCTCAACCAAGCGATGGCAGCGGCACAATCACTGCTGAAGCAGCTACAGAGACGAGGTCAACGTCCAGCGTATGATGACGTCCTCATCACTGAGTACTTGAAGCTGGATGCCATTGAAAAGGAACCGCATCCGAAGGAAGCCGGCTATTACATGCCGCATCATGCCGTATTCCGTAGCGACGCCTCAACGACGAAGACACGGGTCGTCTTCAATGCATCCGCCGCCTGCACCAGAGCACCATCCCTAAACGACATGGTCGATCCCGGGCCATCACTCCTACCGAATCTCACTGGTATCCTCCTCAGGTTCCGTGAGTATGAATGTGCTGTACAAGCCGATATTCGCAAGGCTTTTTTTATGATCGGAATGCGTGAAGAAGATAGGCCATATCTGCGTTTTGTTTGGCCTGAGATAGGTAGCGAAGAAATGTGTATCTGGCGTTTAAAGAAGCTGCCTTTTGGAGTGAATTGTTCTCCTTTCATACTTAGTGCTGTGCTGCGCTTTCATCTCGATAGTGCATTCGAGTCTGCTTCTGCTGCTGAGCGTGATATCATAGAGCTGCTGCTGCGTAGTTTTTATGTTGATGATTGCGTTTCTAGCTTGCCATGCTGTGCGGATGCTGAAAAGCTGCAGGAGTATAGCGTTAATGTTTTGCAGGGAGCAGGCATGGAGTTGCGGAAGTGGCGAGGGAACACGATGACCTCAGACCCCGAGGCTGGTTCCAAGGCACTGGGTATTGTGTGGAACACCGAGTCAGATTGTATTTCGGTGGCTGCGCTCGGTGATGTTGAGTGTCCCAAGGAAGTGTCTGGTTGGTCTTGTCGTGCTTTGTTGCGTTGTGTTGCCGCTGTGTTCGATCCGCTAGGTTGGGCGTCACCCGCAGTTGTGCCAGGCAAGATGATGTTGCAAGAGAGTTGGAAGCTCGGCGGTGGTTGGGATGACCCATTCCCTATTGATTTGGCTGTCCGATGTGCTTCATGGTGGGGAGAGCTCGCAGCGCTTTCTTCCGTTAAAATCCCCAGATGGATCGGGTGCACTTCAGATGCTCCAGTCACTTTGCATGTATTCTCCGATGCATCCGAGAAGGGCTATGGCTGTTGTTTCTATGTTGTGTCCGGTTTGACGTCTTCTTTGTTGTGTGCGAAGGCGAAGGTTGCACATGTTGTACGTCCCACTCTTGCGCGTCTGGAATTGTCGGCTGTGTGTCTTGGCGTGAAGATGTTGTCCTTTGTCGTCAATGAATTGAGAGTGCCAATTGAAAGGATTGTGGGGTGGACAGACAGCCTAACCACATGGCACTGGATCTCAAAGCCGTCGTATCACTGGAAGACGTATGTTGCTAATCGAGTTGCTGCAGTGCAAGAAGTTTCGCAGAAGCTGCAAGTAGAATGGCGTCACTGTCCAGGAGTTAGCAACCCTGCAGATCTTGTCTCGCGTGGTGTCCCAGTGTGTGACTTGCAGAAGGAGATGTGGCTGCATGGTCCGTCATGGTTGAGCGATGAGTCTCAGTGGCCACCAGTCATCTCGTTTCAGAGCACCAATGAGTCCGTCACCGAAGCACGCGTGTCGGCTGTGGAGGTTGACACTCCAGTTGTTTGGCCGTGGGAGAAGTTCTCCAAGTGGCAACGAGCTCGCGGTTTGGTCGCAAGTATGCTGTCATGGCGACACAAGGGTGTTTCGCGTGCAGAATTGATTCCATCTGCTGAGTCTGTGATGTTTCGCGCCATCCAAGAGCAATGCTTCCCCAAGGAGTTGTCCCAGTTGCGGAGCAAGGAGCCACTGAAGAAGGGTTCGAAGCTGTTCAAGTTGTCTCCGTTTCTGGATGAAGCTGGTTTGCTCAGAGTTCGTGGTCGTCTGCAGGAGAGCGATCTGTCCTACGAGGTTCAGCATCCGATCATCCTGGGCAGATGTCATCTAAGTGAGTTGTTTCTGCGTGATGCTCACCTTCAGCGAATGCACCAGGGTGTAGAGAGCGTGCTTGCGTTTCTACAACAGCAGTTCTGGATTCTCGGAGCTTGTCGTTTTCTTCGTAGCGTGTCGGAGAAGTGCATTGTTTGCCGCAGATTTCGCGCACAGACTGCTGCTGAGGAGATGCCGCTGTTGCCCTCAGACAGGGTGAAGCACCACCAGCCATTCGGTCTCACAGGCATTGATTATGCAGGTCCGTTGTACGTGCGCAGTTCATCAAATGTTCAGAAAGTGTGGGTCGCACTCTTCGTGTGCGGTACTACTCGCGCAGTGCACCTAGAGCTCGTGGATAGCCTGTCGACAGAGGTGTTCCTGCTAGCATTGCGTCGTTTCATCGCCCGTCGTGGGAAGCCGCTGCGTATACGTTCAGATAATGCTACGACGTTCAAGTCCGCCGCAGACAAGGTGGCAATCCCGTGGTTCTTCAATCCGCCATCTGCCCCGTGGCATGGAGGGTTCTATGAGCGTCTGGTGGCATGTGTGAAAGCTCCCTTGAAGAAGGTTCTCGGTCGAGCGTCATTGAGTCGAGACGAGCTGTTCACTGTCTTGACGGAGATCGAGAGAGTCGTCAACTCTCGACCCCTCACTCCGGTTTCTACGGATGTAGCTGACGAGTCGCCGCTGACTCCAGCCATGATGTTGGGAGACATCTTTGCAACCGGTATTGCCTCGTCTGACAGACCACTCGATCCACGGCAGTTGTCCGCTCGAGTCAAGTATGTCCACACCGTCTACGAGCACCTCAACCAGCGTTGGTCGTCTGAGTATCTCATTCGTCTCAGTGAGTATCATCGGTCGAAGTCAACTCCGATTGTCGTGAACGACGTTGTGTTTATTGCCGACGACAACCGGAAGCAGCAATCATGGCGCTTGGGTAGGGTCGCAGAGCTGTATCCTGGAAGAGATGGCAAGTGCAGGGTGGCCAAAGTCCAAGTTGGCCAATCGTCCATGCTACGGCCCATTCAACGCTTGGTTCCGTTGGAAGTAGCGAAGGAGCATGTTGAGCCGCCTGCTGTGGACGCTGAGCCGCAGCCGCAGACACCCGCGAGCGCTGATCCAGTCAACGTCGTCGATGATGTTGAAATACCTTCGACGACCGTTGAACCGCAAGTTACGCGTCGATCTCGTCGCACCGTTCGACCACCACCTCGTCTTGATTTGTGATCAGTGTGGTTGAAGCCCTTTGGTGGGGAGAATGTTGTGTATCGTGTCGGAGAAAGGTCTTCTGGGGTGTCGTCGAGATCTCGTTGCGACCGTGACTCCTGCTTGTCTCCCTGGCTAGGTGCTGCTTGCTTTGCTTTTTTGCGTAGTGTTTTTGATTATTGTTTACTATTGCGTATTGTTAGTGTTCGTTGTGATTTGGTACAGTACTTGTTACGAGATACGACACATTGTGTAGTGTGTGTTTGCAGCACGAAGAAGACTGCACACCAGAACGGTTAGCTCAGGAGCTTGGGCTTACCTTGTGCAATCACAGTTCATCAGCTTGGACATTGCGCTTGGTCCCATGCGAATAACCGACTAGAATAGTAATTATTTCTTCGTTGCATTTTTGAATTGTGTTCTTGCTAGCTCGTTGATTTATTTAGTTGATGTGTTGATTTGTGTTTGATTACTTATTTATTTGATGCGCGATTTATGTGCGCTGATTGCGTGATGGCATGCAATTATGATCATGCTTGCGCCAGCTAGCTAGATGCCTGCGCCGCGCACTGATGTTGAATGAGTTAGTATGCGCCCCGCGCTGTTCATGCATATATGGTACATGGTGTGTAATGTTTGCCGCACACGCGTATACGTGCCTCGCCTCGTACTGCTTATGTGCCGCGCGCCGTACTATTGCTGTCGCTTTGCCGCCAAATTTAGCTTCCGCTTTCCGAGCGCTGTACGCTCTTCTGTACGCTCATGCCAAAGTTGGACGCACGTTGTGGCTGGCCAGCGCTTTACCCCTCATGCGTTGTTCTTTTCCTTGATGCTGTGGTTTGTTTTTCTTTAGTGTTCTAGAGTTCTCTTTCCGATGTAGTTCGTATTTTTCCAGTCTCTTCTTCTCAATGTATTCTACTGTTCATTCATTATAGTCCGTAAAGAATTACGTGACCTTTTGTCTTGTGGCGTCTGTGCGATCCTGAAACTTTTGAGGTGTTAGTAGTGAACACAATAATGACAATGCGGTCTGACTACAATTCGAAGCAGCAAAGCAACACACCGCCCAACTTGGGTGGGTCAGCAATATCAGAGAGAAAGGAAGGGAGGAAGCTTTGCGAAAACGAAATTGCACAAAACCGGACCCCTCTTCGTTCCTACGTAACCATGAACCTTCCAAGTTGGAAGGCTGTTGGTTTGCGCACTGGGGATGTGTTAGAGCTAGGTCTCGGGTTGCTGAATGTCTCAGTAGCCTGTCGGTTTTGTGCCCTATTATCGCACTTTCTGACTGTTTATCATCTTGTTACAGTCGTGGATAGTTGCTGCATAACTCGTTCTCATGTCCTTCTTCTCTTTTTTTACAGACCATTATGTTGATTCGTGCCACTCTTCGTGGAAATTAAAGAATTATGTCTGGCGACAGGCATTCTGGTTCATTGCGTGGGATAAAGGGGGGGGGGGGGCTTACCACATCAATATTGCCGTGTAGTACCCAGCTTGTCGATATTGGCGACCCCAACGAATAAGCTCTCCATCCAACGTGAAGTACTCTATGACCCAGAGAATTGGATATGGGAGCCCACGTGCTTGGCCCTCACGGAATTCTCGGCTAACAAGACCAGCTGTGAATAAAAAGCACGCAGACAAACATGGATTCGGGAGAGATCTGTAATGTGGCGGGATAGAACTATGGATGAAAGTAACGCATTGATAGACAGCACTAGCTGAAGCTACTCCGGTAAAATGGGCATGAAAGGGAGAGCAGTGATAGAGAGAGAGAGAGAGAGAGAGAGAGAGACAGACAGACAGACAGACAGACAGACAGACAGACAGACAGACAGACAGACAGACAGACAGACAGAGAGACAGACAGAGACAGACAGACAGACAGATAGACAGACAGACAGACAGTGCGAAAGACAGAGAGAGAGAGAAAGAGGGAGAGAGAGGGAGAGAGAGATGGAGAGAAAGAGGGAGAGAAACAAAGAGGGAGGGAGAACGAGAGATATAGATAGATTGATAGATAGATAGATAGAGAGAGAGATGATGAAGAGGCATACATATACATTTGTTTACTAGTGGTTCGTGCCGGCGGGCGGGGTGGGGGGGGGGGGATGTCCAGGTAATGAAGTGGAGGAGGAAGAGAGCCCTGCACCAAGATTCGTCCCATTTCAGAGGACGAAACTGCCGCCAAGTTCTTCATCCTATGTGTGAGAATCTAGTCCGAAACAGGTAAGAATGGGCGTAATTTGTAGTCGTCTGTTTCATCCTTTTCTTCTTAATGGTGCCTTATTAATGCCCATACCTTGCGAACCGAAACCAAACCGTCCTTGCAGTTGTCCAAAGTTGAAGTGCTCATTGTAATCAATTTCTTCCGACAGTTGCTTTGTTGGCTCTCCTGTGGGGACAGCAAAACCGAAATTAATATCACCACTGTTCGTTTTGAAGTTTGAAGAAAATGTCGAACAGTCTCTGCTGGGATGCCAGCTACATCTATACCATAGCTCAGTCGTCAGAGCATCGCTGGCCTCATGCGAAGGTTCCTTTTTCGATTCCTGGTGTTGGCAGTCAATTTTTTCTTCTATTTTGACTGCGTTTTTGTAATTTATTGGCAAGGTGGAGATGAAATTTGAAAAATGTTTTCGGTGAATCTCCGAAGAATAGCCTTCTCTAGCCTCCTATAGTTTTATTTTTACTTTTGGACAAAATTTGAAAACATTTTATGAAAGGTCCGTGTTCTTTTTCCATGGACCTTTCATAAAGCGTTTTCAGATTTTGTCCAAAAGTAAAAAAAAATTAAAAAACCCATAGTAAGCTAGAGAAGGCTATTGCAGTCAAACATTTCCCGAAAGCGTTGAACCACCCCAGCCACTTTACTCTCAGTTCAAAACAAAGTGCTTCGGGGAATTCCCCCTGATCAGTTGAGCTTGACAAGTCAAAAATAGTGATTGTCCCCTGCACTCGCACTGCATTGTACATGTAATACCTTCCAAGCCAAAACATCACTTGAGACATCGAATAACAAACACACCAACTTTATAAACGTGAACACATGTCGTAAGCACTAACCGGGATACACAAGTCTGTGTTCATGGGGTCGGTTTTCTCTGGCCAGCATATACAATCATGTGCATTGCATGTACACTGTACATCGTACATGGATGTGTTTTGTGAGGTCGGTATTATAGGCACAAAATTACACGTCTCTTAAAATCCGGCTGGACATACCTTTCATCGTAATATTGACGCTGTACAGGCCAACATTCAACCCCACCTTGGCATGCACTGTTGCGTTGGTAAACGCTTTGTACTGTGTCTCCGTGTGCAATGAGCCCACTCGCCAGCCATACCCAAATATAGCCACTGCAGAAACACACGTAGGTGCAAAAACAATAGAGGTTATGCGATACACGTCATATTATAGTACGTTTGCCACCCCAAATTCAATTCTTCTATATAAGGGGTCTCTGTACGCGCTTTGGGCATTTTGCCACCCCAACTGGCTCCTATATATGGCACATTTGACGTTATCCCATAACCTCTATAGCATTGAGCTCGATTTATGGCAGTCATTGCAAACAAGGTACATGATCGCCCTCTTGACAAGTACTTGTACCTTGATTCAGCGAAAAAACGTCGTGCTTTGCGGTCTCATCAATTGCTAGTAAAGGCTATGCACTGCAGCCAATAAACAGCAAGTCCAGGTGAAAACAATGTAACCGCAATTTTCAACATTTTGAATATCGGCTCCGAAACTCGAAGGGCAGTTTGGAATTTTGGTGCCGACGAGGTGTATTTTACGCGCCGTCTTGTTACCTACTTGGTACATGACAGTATAATCACCATTGTTATCAAGTCTCACAACCTCATCACAGCTCTAGAATGTTGTCACATATCCTGCGAGGATTGCCCCTACGGTCCATTCATTGGAAACTGGCCCGCTGGCTTTTGAAAATCGGATTTGGGCCGAATTGAGGGTCAAAACCCACTTTAAATCTCAAAAATCTGGGTTTTGGATCTGCTTCTCCATACATTTTGCCATGGCGCACCTGTCCTAATTTTGTAAAACCTGGCTGAATTTCTATTTCCCTGTTCTTGGACTTTTCTGGCCTCAAATGTGGCAAGGAGTAATTGCACGGGTCACACAATGCAGGATGTACTGTTGTTTTCACGACATCTACAACTATGTGAGAGAGACACCAAAAAGTTAGGGTGCCAGTTTCCAATGAATGGACTGTAGCTAACAGTTGATCTGCGCACTAGCTGACCAGGTGCGCAGATTAACTCAAGGAAAAGCAAGTGCTTCAGTAGCCGATGCTCCGTTTCGCGAGATTGGATAGGGTCATGTTTTGAACGTTCGTTCCAAGCCTACCGCGAATATTGAAAAAGCAAGCAAAAACAAAGCTTACTTTTAAACTCGGATGTTGAACCAATAATACTTCAAGTATAGAGTAGCTGTCCACCACTGTAGCTAGATACTATACAGTCAGAAGGTATAACAACTAGTCAAAACACGTTCTACGCCCTGACACCTATCCCCAAAACATCTCCAAAACGCTAACCAACAGCCTTTCAACTGGGAAGGCTGTAGGTAGACCAAAGAGAGGAAAGGTAATCGCAACGAAAATGAGTTTCATCTTAAATCCCACGGGAACACAGAATATCGGCTGTTGCTGCTGGACGATGACGAGACCAGGAAAAAACTTGACACAACGGTCTAATTAGTAGGGGTCAATCTCAGGTACTGTTAGTAAAAGGGTACCCGTTTGAATTTTGATGAACCAGTCAGTACGGAACAACACTGCTGGGATCGTGTATTCCAGGCAGGAGTCAATTATTTACAACTCCACGGCTGGATGTCTGCATTGTTGTTGCATTTTCGCACCTAGTAGATCTACTCCTGCGACTATCAGACACCAATCGATTTGCGAATCACAATGTGATATCAAAGTGCAACCCAATAACAGATGAATTAATATCTTGATTTATGTGAAAATTGCCCAAAAAATTAAGCATGGCTGTTAAAGGATACCCGTTGACCCGCCCGTTAAGAAAATTACCCGTTCGTTAGTTAAAGGTACACCCGTTTGACCCCCACTAATTAGTAATACCGTTTCGAAGCAGCAAAGCATCACTCCAACCATACTTACATAGGATGCAAATGAAGAAATAGCAGGCAATGGAAGCACTGACGACGGATGACAGCCTCTGGTTATTGCAGAATGAGAGGTAACAACAGAGTAAAAGTGGACTACACCATGTCAGGTAAAAGAAACTGTGCAGCTCGACACCCCAGGAGAAATCAGTATCGGCAGCTACTACACCTTGCTGATGATGCTCACAAGACAGAAGCGGAAAAAACACTGAATTTCTTTATTTTATAGTGTCCTACTACGCGAAATGTGCTATTTTTATTGTTAGTATTATGTCAGGTAAGAATTCGTCATGCTGACATAGGCGTGCGTGTAAGTGAGCCCATTACAATGAAGTATGAAGGATATATACGTAAGAGAGACCCGAGTAAAACTAATGGATTGGGTCACACCACGTGGCTCTGACCTTGAGGCAGACACCAGCACAGAAGACAGACAGTGTCTGCGACAGTTGGTGCGTTGTTGGCAAACTTGCGGGGTAGAAATTGGTGGAATGGATTTAGCCAACACAGAGTAGGAGAGACTACCTTAGCATTCAACTGGATGTGTCCTTTAGATTCATTTTGTACGGAACGGATGGAATCAACTCAAACTAAAGATATCAATGCAATTCACACTGCTCTTACTCAATTTCCGAAAACCTTTTTCGTCCCGAATTCTGGTTAGCGTTTCTGCTGAATAACTTTTCCTAGACCTGGCTGGCGATCACTTACCGAGCCGCGACCGTAAAAACAAGTAGAGCCCAACGCACTGCAATAGGAATCTGTTTCACGTTCGCTTCATGAAAATTAACATTAACTGCCGCTCTACAGGATGGCTGTATCTCCGATAAGCAAGGGCACCATGCCATGTTGAGTGGGGGTTGCTTCAGTTCTCGAAGTGAGCCGTCGTGGCCCGGTTCCATGACTTTTCGCCTATCTTCAACGTAATAATTATTATCAACGGTATAATCACAGGCACCATTCTTGGTTCGCAGTGAGTGTTAGTTTGATTTCTTGAACTCACATTCCCCTCTTTAAAGCCCGGTAGGGACCGGCGGATTCTGCTCGAAAAGGTGGCAGATTCTGCTCGAAAAGAAGTGAAATTGGCAGAACCATACAAACCTTATGGCGGGTAATTCCTCGAATTCTGCTCCATTTCTTTATCCACATACCAAACATGACATGAAACTTACCAGAAAAAGTACCAAATTCTGCCAATTTTTCTACCGGCAGAATCCACCGGACCCTATAGCCCGGTCATACCTGCACTCAAAAGTAGCGGTTCCGCTGAAGCGACGCAGGAGCAGAAAGTACAATGGCAACTGCGAGAAAGGAGGAACCCACATGTGGACAATAAAGAAGTATGTACCGTTGGTACAAAAAAGAGAAAAAGGAAACTCAAATCCGCTGCCAATAAAATTTTGGGAGTGGCACTCTCGCTTCTGCGGTTTCGCTGCAGCGAAATACACGTACGTATATTATATACATGTACTCAATCTGCGCAATATTATATACATGTATATATATCACGGCTGTTTCAAGTACCGGGTTTACACGAATTCAAAATGGCGCTGGTCAGCACATGTTTTTGGAATCTCATGAGCTCAATTGGTGCGACAAACAGGGCCGTATTTTGCAATTTATAGGTCAAGAAAGCGACTCTAGCGCCGGAATTCGAGCCGGTTTTACCTAATTCCTTGCGATCCACGCTCGATGTTGATACCTTGCTCGCGCAGGTTCTTTCCCACTTCCTTGAGTTGTTGTCGGTTCTCCTTTTATTTTCGTTCGTGGCAGTGAAGCAGTTTTCTGAGGAGTAGTCAACCCCCAGTAAACAGCTCTCTGATTTTTCATCGATGTAAGTTCAAAAATTCCTGAAAGGATCGGCCTTCTTGTGCTCGAAATCGATCGTCGCGTTCCAGTTCTCAAAAGGAATCTCATGTTCCCACGTCTTGCTTTTTGTGCATTTTTCGATCACACAGCATCAAAATGAACACTCACGCCCAGGTCCTGAGAGAGGTATGTCGTGTTGGGGGTATGAAGTTGTCCAAGTGCTCTCACAAGACCCACTATAGAGCTGTCAACTTCAAAGACAAGCTGAAAGAAGGCTTTGAGATCGACATTTCAAACGATAACCCTGAGACCCACCCTGAATATGTGTGCTCACTTTGTGAACGTGTCTTGGCAAAGTACAAGAAAGGATCGCATCACTATGGTGGCTGTGGGAGAACATTTAGCAGGACTGCCCACACAAGAACTGCATGTGAAGTGTGCACAGCATATGCTGCACAGCCGAAGCCTGGCAGGCCGTCAAAACGCAAATCGCAACTCCGTGCATGCACACAACCGGCTCCACAAAGTTGCACCACAGGCATGCCAACGCAGACCGAGTCTACTGCATTGCCCGCAAACACAACACCAACACTGATGGACATACCAGACCAGGAGTTCAATGCAAAGGCAACGCAAAGGTACGGGGCGCACAAAGCCCTGGAAATAGGCAGATTCATAGATCAGACAGCGACGTCAGTAATGAAATGCAAGCTGTGCCAGAATATGGCAGATGAAGCAGTGGAAGCAAGCTGCTGCGGCAATGTCACCTGTTGTTCATGCGCACGAACAGCACTGTCTGCAAACGCACAATGCGCACAACACACAAAGGCATCGCAGTACACACGCCCCAACCCTGTCTTTTGCAAGCTTCAGGGACAGTGGTCGGTGCACTGTGATTATTACGGCAATGCTCTGCGTGCCTGTCCAGCGGTAGTGACACTGGACAGCCTTCAACAGCATGTAGGAGATTGCAGCTTTAATCAGCAAACCAGCAGCACGCCAATTCATGCAGTCACTTCTGGCAGTACTGTCGCAGAGGTACTGTGCGCATCTCCGTCAAAGCTGCGTGGCAATGTGGCAGAGAGATTAACAGCTCACTTGGTAACCAACAGGGTACAAGACGGCCGCCTTGAGGTTAGATCTGGGAGTCATGGTCGGCCTCAGACATATATGCGAACGACTGTGGCTACCAGATCATCCACTGAAGCATGCCGCGATACGGTTCACCGGCGGACGGCTGAGCTGCAGAGCGTAGCTGAGATAATGGCAGGAGGAGCAGAAGGAGCAAGAAGGCAGGAAATAGCAGGTTTGCAGGAAATGAGCAAAGCGGAGCAAGTGCAATTGTTACAGGACGCCGGGCTACGATCTACAACACCACGCACAGGTGCATTGCTGGCCATCAAGGCAGACCTTGGTCTTCCCTGGAGCCAGGTAGGTGTAAGCGGAAGCGGTGGCTCCATAGCTTTGGAGTGGACGTTGAATCAGAGCGGTCCGCAAGGCGGTTCATTGCGATGAACGTGCCAAGCTACACAGCCAAAGAAGTTCCCATGGTTAATAAATCAGGAGAACTGTTAATGGTGAACATGGTGTATTTTCCGAACCTGATAGACACACTCATGCTCTACCTTCACTGATATGAGTGCCGCGGCAAGCTTGTCCAACTTGACGGCATTCCTGATCAGGAAATTTGGCTCAAGCTTGGCGGTGATCACGGTGGTGGCTCATTCAAATTTGTTATGCAGATAGCGAATGTTGCCACACCGAATTCACTCTCCAACACGATACCACTTTGTGTCTTTGAAGCGCAGGACACTCCAGCTAATTTGGAGATAGCCCTCCGTATGTACCGTCCGGATGTCGAAAGTCTCCGAAGCACCACCAAATGGAAAGAGCACTCGTTTCGTGTGTTCTTCTTCGGGGACGACTTCCAGACAAAGTCGTACACGGCCACTCTGGTTCAAGCGGAGTTCGGCCCTGCCTCCATTGCCTGTGCCCTAAGCGGAACATCGACACTCCACCTGGTAGCCATCCCGATGGTGATGATGAAGTGCGGACACTGGAAACCCTTGCTGCCGACCACCAGGCATTTCTTACAGCTGGAGCCGTACACAACAGGGTTAAGGATTTTAATAATGTCATGCGGCCCGTTATCATTCCAGTGGCTGATGTAGTAGTTTCGGCCCTGCATCTCGATTTGGGAATTTTCCCGCGGTTGTTTTCGTCCTACAAAACAGAGCTCCAACGTCTGGATGTTCGTCTGGCTTCTCACATACAAGGATCTGGCTGTGACCAAAGTGTGTTCAATGAGTTGGCAAGCCTTCACTCAAGACTGCGCTGTGCAAACGAGCAGATCGCCACATGTCAGTCTACTTTGCAAGCGATACAACAGCAGCTGCAGTATAATTATTGTTCTCTGCCAACAACTCGGCAACATCACGAATAACGTACAAGTAGAAGACATCGTGGAACAACTGCAGGCACAGTTTCAGACTGCAAACACTGTGCACACATCGCAAAAGCAGCGGAGAGACCAGCGGACAGCAGCGATAGACGCTCTCAAGAAGCGGAAGGATTTCAGTGGTCCATGTTCTGCCAGTATTGAGCCAGTTCTCCAGCAGAACAACATGCAGCGACAGGCCTACCACGGTGGCGCGTTCAACGGAAATCACGTACACAGGGCCCGTCAACCAGCAGTGATACAGTGATACAAGCTCTTGTTTCCACACTCATGTCCATCATCGGTAGAAGGTGTCTGTAGTGGATGCACATCCCACTGTTTGTCATTGTGTCCTTTTATGTAACATGTATGCATTCATCCGGCCGCGCTGTGCGACATGCCAGTTGTACCGTACGCACTTTAGCTGTACTTGCCTGCCTGGCTTTTCCTTTGATCTCTCTGTCGTTCTCTGTATTCCCACACACTTGTGATTTGTAGTAACGAAGCTAGTTACAAGATGTCTTTGGTGCGTTTGTAGAACCACTACATGGTGTCAGAATTGGTTTTCCTGTAGTCTTTGGCCTCGTGAGCGGTGATGGCTCGTTTCAACCCTCCAGCGCCTTTCGACTTCAGCTCACCGGACCAGTGGCCCGCGTGGAAACTCCGTTTCACCCGTTTTCGTGCCGCCACCAAACTGAGCTCCGACCCGGGAGAAACTCAGGTGGCCACTTTGTTGTATGCTCTCGGACCCAACGCCGACTCCTTGTTCGAGTACCAACTCGGACTATCCGAGGACGACAAGAAGAA